TATTTTATATATTATTTAAAAATCTTCAATTATTATATTATTCTCACAGAATATGTGTAAATAAAAATTAAAAATCTTTTAAAAATATTATATGAAAAAACTCTAAATATTTGCAAACTTCCTTTCAGCTGTTTTCTATTGATTATAATTAATCTGCATATTATTTAAATATATATTTTGTCGTTTACATATATCATATACTCAAGAAGCTAAATCTATGAAGCATAGCAATGATAATATTACGATCCACACACATGTATTATATAGTAATTATTATAGACAAATAGTATCAAAAGTCTGGAGGCCACATTATAACAAAATAGAATAGATTAGAACAGATACCGTTACTGTTAACTAATACGGCCAGGCTGTCTGGAATACCTTAAAGTATTAATGATTATTTGTTAATATATGTTCATTTTAATCTAGGGCGAAATATAATCATAATAGAGGTAACCACCTGCCGGTACTTGTAGCTTAACTTATTTTCCTTCCAAAAAATATCAGCAAAGCAAAATGCGAAAAGAATTGTTGTTTTCATAATGATATTTTAGAATTTGTGGATCATAAATCAGTCGAAATGTTGCTAAAAATAGTTAATTGATCGCAAGACTCGCCCCCCAGCCAAGTGAAATATTCCACCGCAACTTTAGATCCACGGTAATCTTAACTTGGCCATTATCAGCTGTGAGGTAAATCAAATCGATTTGAATTCATTGGTTGATTGGAGAGTTTGGCGCACTCCCTGCCCCTCTCCCTCTGTCTTTGCCGTGGCTATATAAGTGACCCACTCGACTGCCGCAGTCAGAGCCAAGAGGTTCCTTCTAGACTCTACAATGCGCACTCTGATCTACCTGTTGCCACTTCTGCTGGCCTTAAGCCAGGCACTCGCTGATGGCAAGTTCAATCTGCGTGGGATGATCCCCTCGGATGAGCGTATACGCTCCCATGGCTATCCAGCTGAGGCCCATAGGGTGGTCACCGAGGATGGCTACGTGCTGAAACTCTTTCGCATTCCTTACTCCCACAAGCTGGGCAACCAGAACGCGAGGCGGCCGCCGGTGCTGCTGCAGCATGGCCTGTTCAGCAACTCGGACTGCTGGCTGAGCTCGGGGCCGGACAACTCGTTGGCCTACCTGCTGGCCGACGCGGGATACGATGTCTGGCTGGGCAATGCACGTGGCAATATCTACTCGCGCGCCAACGAGCAAATCTCAGTGAACCATCCCAGGTTCTGGCACTTCGACTGGCATGAGATTGGCACCATCGACATCGCTGCCATGATTGATTACATTCTGGAGGAGACGCAGCACGAGCAGCTGCACTATGCCGGCCACTCGCAGGGCACCACGGTGTACCTGGTGCTCTTGTCCGAGCGACCGGAGTACAATGCGAAGATCAAGTCGGGTCACTTGCTGGCTCCATGCGCATTCTTTGCGCACGGCCGTTCCGCGATCTTCAGATTGCTTGGACCACTGGTGGGCACTCCCGGCGGCGTTTGGAACCAACTGCTGGTGGACACCGAGCTGATACCGTACAACAATCTAGTCAATCGCCTGGCGGACAACGGCTGCGGCAGCGGCAGCCCCTACGACTCCATCTGCAAGAACGGATTCCTGATGTTCGCCAATGGCGGCTATGAGAACATTAATCTGGTAAGGGCTCAGCGTAATCCCAAACTCTCTTATATATTCCATAAATTGCATTCTTTTCGCTCGGCAGACTTCCATGCAGCTCTTGATTGAGACGCATCCAGGTGGCTCTTCCAGTAATCAGGGCATTCACTACCTGCAGCTGTCGACCTCGCACGAGTTCCGCCAGTACGACTGGGGCACCAAGAAGAATCGTGACCTCTATGGCCAGGATCTGCCGCCAGACTACGACTTGAGCAAAATAACGGCCAAGACGCATTCCTATTCGAGTCAAAACGATGCGCTGTGCGGTCCAGAGGATGTGAACACTTTGGTCGCCGAGTTCACCCACCTGGCTGAGGATCATCGTGTGCCCCTCGAGAGCTTCAATCACTTGGACTTTATTGTGGCCAAAAATATGAAGGAACTGGTCAACGATCTAATTGTTGACCGCATCAATGGCTACGAAGCGCGCTAAGCAGCCAAGCTAATGGATCGATTGAATTGTTATTGATATACATATGATATATGAGGGCAGACATAAATAACTAATAAATATATCTGAAGCTAGTTTATTGGGGCTCTTCTTAGATAAGATTAGATAAGATTAAGAATGCATTGTCTGATTAGTTAAACTCTTGCAATCTAAATATATATTAAATGTCCAGGTTTTTAACCAATATTTATAAATTTTTAAAATTTTAATTAGCTGACATTTTATATACACCAAATTTCATTAAAATATCTCGCTTCAGCTCTTTGATTTGAGAGGAAGTCTTACCACGTCTTGTGCAATCGCCTAAAAAGCTCTTAACATGCATATCTAAAATCCAGGGCTACCTGTTAGCTATCAGGTATACCTATGTCTAGCCATAGACTCGATGTAGCTGCGCAACTTCGGCAAGCAACAGAAAAAAAAGAAACTTTTTTGCGCCGAGAAGCGTAACATGGCTTTTCAACAAAATTTTGTAATCATTTAACAACAGAAACAGAAAAAAAAATAGAAAAATAGTAGAAAAATAGAAGTTGTGGCTGAGGCAGGGCGTGAAACGGTCTGAAGAGCTGCTACCGCTGCCGCTGCCGCTGCCGCTGCCACTGCTGCTAGAGTAGACCTCCTCTTTGCCACTCCATAGCGTCGCTCCGTACGCATGCGCGCCGAGCTTACATCAAACGAACCTTGAAATTATTGTCGTTTTCATCATTGTCTGTAATTTCGTTGGCTTCCAGCTGCTGTTCAGCTCTAAGAGCTGGCGCACCACCTGTACACTTGTGCACCTGTACACCTGGGAGCTGCCGAGAGATGCCTGCCTGCCGCAACTAAGTGTGACTTGAAGGTCTGTTTGCAGCTCCAACTGGAGCTCCAGCTGTGACGCGACAGTTTCACCATTTTTGCTCTGATTTCTTTTGAGTCTCTCCTAATTAAATAACTGTTAGTTCTTTGAATATGCCTGTAGTATATTAAAGCTGTGTTTTGTGTGGAATTCATGCGACAGAGCTTCAGATTTGCAAAGCGAGATAAGAAACAAAACAAATATGAGAGCAACAATTTCATCATAATAGCGCCATCCATTGGCAGTAAAAGGAACTAAAGTCAAAGCAAGGCAGGCATTGCCTGGCGCCCTCTATCGCCGGGTAGTATATGACAACAGGCAAGGATTTTTGTCTGACTACAAATATTTTGTTTCCAACTAGCTTACTCCAATTAGAGCGTATCCAATATATCCGTGTATGTTTTGATGTTTAAATTAATTATGATGTAGATTTCAAATATTTGATTTAAACACTTTTGAAATATTTGTTAACTTTTCATAGCCTTCACATAAACACGAATTTCTTTTCTCTCTCTTAATTTTCGCTTTACTTTCAAGCGCACTTTTGCTTTTATTGTAAACTTTTTGCAATTTAATTTAAAATGCACTAAAGCTTCGACGTTTATTTGTAAGGAGCCGAACTAGGCGAACCGTCTCGTTTGGAATGCGCGTTAAAACTGTTTTCAAAACGTTATGCGAAGCCAACGGATTACTCAAGATTTCTACAAACGTTTTTTCTTATTTTTTTTTTATGTTTTGTGTGTTTTGTTTTGAGCGTTCAGCATTGACTGGAATGCGGGGGAGTAGCGCCAAGAAGCGAATGCTTCCTGCCTCTGCAATATCGGAGCACATTTGGCGCCACACTTGGCTGATTCTCACTCGCACAAGACGCGACACACAGTTAACTTGACTCACAGCGTTTGTGGATCGTATGTGGAACGTGGTTGATACCTGAACTGTGACCAGGCTACAGGGGTCGAAGCTGGCTGGCTGGCTGGTCATGCTGCTGCTGTCGGTGCGATGTTGTTTATGCTTAAGATGATATTGAAATTGCAAGTGAAATTAACAAATTAACTTTACAAATTGCCTGCACAGCAACGAAGGCCAGAAGCAATTGCTGACTTTTGGCAGAAGTTTGGCATTGAGTTGGGATATTATTTGAAGATTATTCTGATTGGGGAAAATTGCCCAAATGAGTAGAGAGCTTCCAAATGAACATGTGGAATGAATGTGTAGTAAAATCTGTTGGAATGTAAATACTAGAGCTTCGATGTTGGAAATTTAGTTGGGATTTTAGCAATTAGAAACCGTTTTCTATTATTTATATGAATGCGTTTTCTGACAAGCTTTTACTACAAGCTGTACAATTAAATTTTAATGAACATAATTATAGGCTATGAGCTAAATTGTGGCAAGAGCTATGAAACATTAATTGAACAGATTTTTTAAATGTACAAATATTTTGTATATTTCCAAATGAAAGATTGTTAATAAAGAATACAGAAAAAATAGAAAAATACAAATTCAAAGATTTTCGGCCAAATCTATGTTCCATGAATTTGACAAACCTTATTTTAAAGCCAACTAATTGGTTCGCGCCATGAACCAAGCCATGCTTATGCTCTTAGCTCTGTTTCAGCCCTGTTTCTCATTTCACTTTCATTTCTAACCGTTTGTCGTTCATTTCCTAGCCCGATATCTCACGCTATCTTAGGGGGCTCTTTCTGCTCGGCTCACTTTTGCTAAATTAAATTAAAGGCCTCATAAAGCGCTTGATTCACGTGTTTTAGTTTTTCTATTCGTKGTTGTTGTTGTTGCTGCCGTAACGTCATCATTATTATTGTCTCTTTATGGGAGTTACATAAAAATCTGGCTCTAGTTGCGGCATCGCTTGGCTGCCCAAGATGTCTGGAATGCGCACAGGGACCAAAGAAAGACCATATAACACTTCCCCAATATGTGGCGCCCATTGAGCAAGAGTAAGAGGCAGACAATATTTCTTTTTTAAACATTTATGCGCTATACTTATATCCAATTATATTTGCCAGCTGTCTGGCCCGTTAGTTGTAGTTCTCACAGAAGAAAAGCGCACGCCCAAGTATTTGTAGTCTCTAAATAATTTGTGCGTATTTTTATTTTCATATTTTCCAAGCACAAAACACAACTACGTCAACTAAGGATTGTCAAGGCTGAAGAGAGAAAATCGTATTCTAATGTTCTATAATTGAATTGCTCATACGCAAAACAATTATACGCTCGTTTGAATATAGTCTATATGTTTTTTCATTCCGTATGCTGATAACCCCTGCGAATAACAATTTGCAGTACATGCTATAAAATTAGTACAAGTTCAATGCATTATCAGATTGTGTAGCACACGTTTTTGCACAGTGTGAACCATAAGCATGTGGACCGATTCCATTTAGAGGCCCTTGCCCCAACACTTAATTATATTAAATTGAGTTCTCGATCCCTTAGCAGACTTACGCATTTACATATTTCGGTTGTCAAGGTTAATTGAGTTTACTGTACAATAACAGAGCTTTTTAACAGCATTTATACGAAAGCTCTGCCGAAGAGAGGCAAAGCAGAAGCGTATATCATACTACTAGGCGATGGGCGCTCCGTTCTGTAGTAGTAGAAAGTGAAATAGTAGTAAGCTCATATATGGTAGTTAAGTATGAGAATATAAGAAAACTACTCAAATTTTTAATAGATGATGATGAGTAGAACCATAGTATGTAGAGTGATAGTAGTAAAAAGTTTAAAAGTAGTAGTAATTGTAGTATGACTAATAATATCTGTTATTCATTTTAGTATAATCTTAATTTCTACTACTAATATTGAATATTTTATTAATTTCATATCGTTTCCTTGTAAAATTTTTGTATATTTACATTTATTACTACTTATTTACAATTGTATAGAATTTTTAATAATATGAAGATGTCAAAATATGATATGCCAGAGTACAATTGTAAATTAGTAATGAAATTTGCATTATAGTAAGAGCATAGCAAGAACTATTATATGCAGCAAAAGCAAAAGTCGAACAGTGTTATAGTATATATATAGGTGAAAGACCTGAAGAGCACTGGCGTGATTTCAGTACACAATAGGGGATACTTTTTTAGGCGTAGAAGGTTAGAAGTATATTAATCTGTAATCATAAAGTGAACATACATACATATACTACATATAATTGTAGATAAGTTTCTAAATTGTACATGTAACAAATACGATCAAAGCTATCTACTGCCTATTGTCATATGTAGAACACCCTGTATAAATATGCTTCCATGTATTTATTTTCTTGTTTTTGTTTTTTTGCATAACCGACACACGAAATAGCGATATAGACCTGCCTCCCAAAAGGAAACCTGCACAGCGAAACTATGTTAATTGTTGTTGTTGTTGCTGCTTTTGCTTTTCCTTTGATTGTTGTTGTCGTTGTTGTTGCTATTGTTATTGTCAATTGGCGGGCCTCCTCTCGGTGGCAGCGTGCTGCTTTCGCTTTTATTGAATTATAAATGGCAAAGCCCGAGCAAATCTTTGCCATGGTGACAAAAACAACAACAACAATAACCACAACAACAAGGAGAGCAGCAACAACTATAACGTCTCATAATGAATCAAAAAAATGAGAAAATAAAAAACGAGAAAATTGAGTGTTTGCCAAGTGTCGACCACTAGCGAATGGAAATCCGAATGCTCACCCGATATGTGCGCGAATAGGCGAGTATAACATATAGTGAATTATATTCGATGCTCGACGTTCGTAAATATGATTTGCTGAAATTCAAAATCAGTTGAATATTGTAACTCGCTGCGTTGCGGCGTTGCGGGTCCGGTGTCCAGTGTCCAGTGTCGCTTGTCGCTCAATCCTTTCCGTAGTACCCCAGTACAGAATGTGGCGCAAGTGCCTCAGCAGCCTGGTGGCCAGTCAGCGGCAGATGCAGCCGGTGGTGCGCCTCATGCATCAGCGTGTGCCCGCCAGCAGACCGCCAAAAATTCTAATCACCGGTTAGTGAAGGGATTCAAATAAATATATATGGATGGGTCAATTCTAATCACTTCCGTTTCCTGTCTGCCTCCAGGTGGTCTCGGCCAGCTGGGCATTGAGTGCGCCAAGCTGCTGCGCTCACAGTACGGCAGCGAGAACGTCATACTCTCGGACATCATAAAGCCCAGCCAGGCGGTGCTGGAGAATGGACCCTACATCTTTGCCGACATCCTGGACTTCAAGGGTCTGCAGAAGATAGTCGTAAACGAGCGCATCGATTGGCTCATTCACTTCTCGGCGCTGCTCAGCGCAGTGGGTGAACAGAATGTGCCACTCGCAGTGAGGTAGGTGCCGCAAGTAGTTCCAGCTAGCTCCAGGTATTACCTAATCTTACCCAACCAACTTCAGGGTCAACATTGAGGGCGTGCACAATGTTATCGAGCTGGCGAAACAGTATAAGCTGCGCATCTTTGTGCCCAGCACGATTGGTGCCTTTGGGCCCGATAGTCCCCGCAATCCCACACCGAACGTTACAGTGAGTGCCGAAAGCTCTGCTCCCGTTTCAGTTTGTTCAATAATGGTGACTTGCTCTCGTTCTCTCTTGCTCTCTTGCTCTCATTCTCTTGCAGATACAACGGCCTCGCACTATTTACGGCGTATCCAAGGTGCACGCAGAGCTCATTGGCGAATATTATTATCACAAGTTCGGCTTGGATTTCAGATGCTTGCGCTTTCCGGGCGTCATTTCGAGCGATCCACCAGGCGGCGGCACCACAGGTAAGTCGACATCGGGCTAAGATCATTAACATAAAGAGAGTGCACTAAATTGATTAAATTATTAAATTATTTAATAGTTTTATTAGCATACGCTCTTTGCTGTTGAACGTAGCGTAACAAAGTGCATTTTCATATGGAATCACATTAGTTGGGGAAAGGAAATTGTTGCTTGATAATGCAACGATAATTTGATAATAAAAGTAGATCTTCAGTTGAGTCTATCAAAGTCTATATTAGAAAGAGTATAGCTAACTACCTCTTCATAATCTTAACTGCCAACCTAACCCCATCTTTCTCTCTCTCTCACTCTCTTGCAGATTATGCCGTTGCCGTCTTTCATGAGGCACTGCGGCATGGCAAATACACTTGCTACCTGCGGCCAGACACACGTCTGCCCATGATGTACATTGAGGACTGTCTACGGTAAGTGCAGAGATCTTTAGGTTGACTAGAGCTCTCTCTATATATTACTCCTCCTTAGTGCTCTGCTCGAGTTCATGCGCGCGCCCAATGAGAAGCTGAAACGACGCGTCTACAATGTCACGGCCATGTCCTTTACGCCCGAGGAGCTGGTGGATAAGCTGAGCAAGCACGTGCCACATTTGCATGTCACCTATAAGCCGGACAGCCGGCAGTCCATTGCCGATTCCTGGCCGCAGGTGTTCGATGATTCGGATGCGCGTCGCGACTGGCACTGGCAGCACAAGTACGACTTGGACAACCTGGTCGACTTCATGGTCAAGGATGTGCAGGAGAACTACATCAATGTGGAGAACGGAGAGCGGCAAACGCTTACGATTTAAGAGCAGCATTCATCTGCAACTACAAAGTATTCCACATCATCAAATGAGATTCTAATGGCATTTAAAAGCATTTCAATGTACAATTTGTTCAATTCATTATGTACACAATGATAAAATATAGCAAATATACACTATGAACTTTTACAGAAGCAATTTAATAAAACTGAAATTAGAAGAATTGAATAGTTTTTGAGTATTGTTTTCTTGAATTGAGGTTTGTCTCTATTATGGGCAATTCATTGCCGAATTCGTTTCATAGGTTGAATATTTCAAATCTCTATATTCACCACAGCATTTATTCACCCTCCATTTATCGATAAGCGAGTGGATGAGTTATCAAAAAATATAAAGAGAATATAAAATACATAGTTTCTATACAATATAAATATATCCCTTTTAGATTTTACAGGATATAACTTAAATATCTATATAGAATATATATTCAATTAAAATTATTCAATAATCATTGAAAAAACTCACGCTAAAATGTTTCACATTCAATTATATATTTGATTTGGGGCTTAACTCTTTTATTACACTTCACTTAAGTAAATTTAAGCACCTTTCGTTTTGGGACTTGCACAAGAATCCATTTAGTGTTATGTTCAAAGTCTTACTATCTACTTAGACTACGTTATACAATGCATTATGGTTAGTTAAGGTTCTATGTATAAATACATATATAGTGCTTCGTACGACAATTAATGTGTTAGATCTCAAACTCTTCGGCCGCATCATTGTAGTGATAAAGACAACCGCCATGTGTGGCTATATACAGATCGGCTGCCTCATCTCTCAATTTGGATTCACATTTAGCCTCTAGTATATCATTTAGGGACTCTAAGGTATTGCATAATTTTTCAGGTTGTTGTGGCTGTTTAGGTTGTCGTTGGCCGTCTGTAAACGAGCAGAGAGCAAAGAGGGTTTTCTTCTATCAGTTTTATTTTTCAATTTTTATTTAATTTATTTTTTTTTTATTAAGGTTTTCCCAACTCCGAACTGTTTTAGTTAGCAAAACCTTTCACAAAGTGTTTGTTGATTTTTTAAAATATAAATCGGACTTAAACTAAGTACAGAATTTATTAGTATTTGGATTTCGACTTGATGGTAAAAAGTACAGGAATATATTCCTGTAAAATGAGCATAAATCGGTGGTAGGCATGAATTAAAATTTTGTATTGGCCTGGAAAATAGCAATTGAAACGAAATTTTTTCAACAAGGAAAAAAGGATTAAAGATAAAATTAAAAATATAAGGAGTATAATATTCCGATTTCTAACTTCAGTCATAAAAGATCATTCTATAGAAATTGGGCTGATTACAATAACGTCTCTTTATTTATGATATATAATTTAGAGTATAAGTTCCAAATTCATTTCATATTGAGCGAATCAATTTCGAATTAAATAGTGAATTTTGGATTGGACTAAAAACATTTCATAAATTATAAAAGATGTTGAGAAAACACAATCATAAAGATGATCAGACGAAAGTACCAAAAGAGAGAATTTTAGCAATATAAGAAATAAATAGAAAAAAGGAGCAGAGAATTCTTCCATGGGCTCGAACCGCCATGCAATTTGTTAATAGGCCGCCAACAATTGCTTCATATAGATAAGCAAAATAAAAGATAAAAATAAAATAAGGATATGATATCATTTGGCTATCAGCAAATGGAGTTAAGAGATATGAAGCAAACGTGCAGTTTGAGTTTAGGTACAACAAACTGCACACCATAAAAAATCGTAGAGCAAACACTTTGTGAAAGGCCAGTTGCTTGCAAAGCTTGTGCCAATTGAACTTACAGCTAGATTAGACTTAATTAGGATATTGCTTAAGTGTTAGTTAATTTGATTGCAACGGTTTCCATAATAATTAAATTATTAAATGTTCATTCGTAATTTAAGTTTCGTTGCGAGTACTGATACAATTATTTCTTCACTTTTTTATTTTTGTTATTTGTACAATGCGGCGATATAAAACAATTCACTTTATATATGTATACAAACACAATAGGTATACAAATATATGTATAGTTATTTATATACATATATATATGTTATTGATTGATTGATTAATTGATACGTTTGCCATTTAAATGTGGATATTTTTAACAATTGCTTTGGCTCATTTCTATTGCTTATTTGATTTGTTCATTAAGTATACGCGATGTTGGCACGCCGACAGTTTCTACAGATTTTGTGTGTGTGTGTGAGTGAGTGTATGTTTATATGGGTTGTTCTGTATGAGTAATATGCAAATTTTTGGATATACATTTAATATTAGCGAATACGGCGGCAAATGGAAATATTTTGTTTTTACTCTTGCGGTGACAGACAGAGAGACGTGTCGGTGAACTGTTGCATGTTGTGTTTGTGTTTGTGAGTCTGTGTGCTATATACAAAGATTGTACACACATACACACACATATATATATACATATAAACATATACGTAGAGGCTATATGCATGTATCTAGATCATGTGCGACATCATGCAACGACTCACATCACGGTTAGCGCGATGCAAATGACCTTGATAATGTTGATGGATGCGTGGATGCAACAACTGCTGCTGCTGCTGTTGCTGCGTTGACTGTTGATGTTGTTGATGCTGCTGCTGCAGTTGCGTCTGTTCATGCTGTTGCTGGTGCTGCTGCAGTTGCTGCTGTTGTTGCACATCATTATCGTAGTCCATTAGGCAGGCCTGCGTGCCAATCATTTGTGTGGCGGGCATCGAAAAGAAATCTGTTTAAAGAAGACCACATTAGTGTGTGTGTGTGTGTAACATACATATATGGAAAAAGTTCAAATTGCTACATTCAGTTTAATTTATTAATTTGGAATTGCGTTTTCAGCATTTTCCAAATGCTGACGTTAGCTTTGCAGTCGGCGTCGCTGTTCGCGCCGATATGTCCCAATTACGGTTCATTTATAAATAGCCGGTAAATACTGTAAGCAGCGTTGACAGTGACAGCGACGTCAACGGCGACAGCGACAGCGACTGCAAAGCGACAAGCAGTGCTGCCATTGGTTATCGGCCTAATACCTCCCGTTCCCCCTGCCATAACTAAGCTCTGATTGCGCCGTTGTCAGCGATAACAGGTAAAGATCGCCACCTATAAAGCATGTTGTTTAGCTAAACGCAAGCGATAACCTAGTTGTACAATTAAATAACAAATGATGAACTATCTAACAGCTGATAGAGGAACTTGAAAAACGGAACTTATAAATAAATATAGATCTAAGCTTGTCGTTGGGGTCGAGCAATCAGCGATAACTTGAAATTTTCATTTAAATGAAATACCCTGGAGTTAAACAAATATGAACTGGGTTGCATTGAGATATATTGAAAGATACAAATATTTTTAAGATTTAAACTAACTGAATTCGCATTATTTATTGCACTCAATTTTCGAGAACAAAATGTTGGATTCTCTATACAGGGTATTTCATAATTGATCACTGTCGATTTGATCATTTTAGACATTAACAATGAGGTCATAAACAGCGATAGCAGGTAAATTATAAACCCAACTGTACAAATATCTATATACGATATATATATTCTTTGCTACAAATGTATACACATATACGTATTTATGTGTATATATATGCATATATAATCTCAATATATGTTTGAAATCTTTCTGCCGGTAAGCGCACTCTCATATTGCTCATAGGGTCAATAGGTGCTATATTATAAATTTATATACATACATATATATTAGTTAAAAAATATGGATTGGCTTATCGCTTGAGGTTATTAAACTAGGTTGCGAGTTTTGTTTTATCAGCTAAATCTTAATTATATTTAAATATAATAAAAAATTGACAGAGATAACCGAAATACCCTACAATAGAGAAGTATTTGCAACGATTAAAACTTTTACTAAATGTTTAGATTACGTCCCTATATACATACATGCATATGTACATATATACACACATATGCATATGTTAGCATATCTCTGTTTAACTGACATTTGCATAATATTATATTTTATGGATTGGCAAACATTACTAAATAGAGCTAGGGTAACACAGTTGTGAACCAATTGCCAAATTAGAATCTTTTCAGATAACAATAAATGAAAACAATTTCTGATAAGCATGGCCCAGAAAAATTGCAGACGAAAAAAATAAGCACATAGGCCCAGGCCCGCACAAAAGCGTTGCCAACAAGTTACAAAATCGAATTTTGTAACACAATTTACGAAATGTTTTCCATCGCATGAGGCAGTCAAAGAGAGCGAACATTTTTAGTTGCTGTGCGGTGTGAAAAGCTCAAGACCAACCGCAAAAATATGTTATGCACTAAATGTAAGCATTTAATTTATAATTTGATTTATGCGCATAATTACCGTTGCAATACTGTGCGACCAGATCGGCATCATCAAAACGGCATCGCTTGACGGCCGTCAAGTTGTCCATCTCCATGTCCAACTTTTCGTGTCCCATTGCAAAGCAGCGCTTCTTGCAGCGTGCTGTTGCGGCAGCGGCGGCGGCAGCGTCAGCGGCAGCGGCTTGCGTACTGTCATCCCCAATGTTGTCGTTCACTTGCATTTGCATTGCCTGTATGTTGTTGTTGCTGCAGCTGTTGTTGTTGTCGTCCGAAGCGGCAACTGCATTGTTTACAATCGCATAGCCATAGTAGCCGTTCGATGCGGTAGCAATGTGTGAGACGACACGTGCGTTGAAGGGATCCACCACTGGTGAATGGCGCGCCGGCGGTCCACTTTCGAAATGGACAGGCGCAGAATCACCATGTGCCCAGCACTCGAAATTTGTCAATACCATCGCTGATGCTATCGGTGCGCAGTGGAAATTTCCCAAGAATATATTGTATTAAGCGCACATTCACTCACGCACACATTAATGCACGAATCCACAAGCAAACAACAAACGCGTTGTGTATTGAACGACGCTCGCTATTCGACTGTACGTGCACCGCTGCCGGCGGCGTCTATACAACTGCAACGAGCCGCTCTCTATGAGTTAATTACTTCAAAATAGCAGCATTAGCGAAATGGTGGAAGAAACAAATACAAGCTTAATTAACACACGCGCGCACGAAAGCACCAATCGAAACAGACGCTGACGCCAATTGTTAAAAATAAATACAATTGGTTATATGAATCGATAAATCGATATGCCATGTAATGTATCAAAATAGTATCGATATTTTATTCACAATTGGTTGTACAACATTTGTTTTAACAAAATTTAAAATTAATTTAAATTAACTCCTAGAATTTTTTATTTATTTATTATATCTGATAGAGTCAGCCAGCTATTCAACACAAACCTTTATTTATTAAATGTCGGTACGCTGCCACCTAATCCAAAATACTCGATTACAATAGGCCCCTGCCGATAAGATTCCCAAAGTATCATGTGATTAGCACGTCAAGAAAACAAGACAACAAATATAATAAATATTTTGATTTGTCAAATTAATTTACTTTTAGTATTTACCGAAAATGAGCAACAAAAGCAAGAAGGCCACTGGAGGTGCAAGTGATGCCAACCAACAGAGACTAGCCAAACAGCGTTCACATGTATGTAAACACAATGACCCCGTTTTGCCGGTTATTTATTTGCTTGGCATGTAATCATTTTCTAGGACTCTCAGGACTACAGCGCCTTTAAGGTGGTCCTTTTCTACTGCTCTCTGATAGTATTCCTGCCCGTGGTGACATTTTTCGTACTTAAGGGCTTCGTACTGGAACGCTTCTTCACCATGTCAGATGTAAAAGTGAACATTGCTGCTGCGGTGGGCGCTGTGGCCGCACTGCACGTTTCATTGGGCGTTTATATCTATCGAGCCTATTTTGGTGGCTCAAAAGCATCCAAAGAAGATTAACTGGCATCGACTCCAAAAGAGCAACAATTGCGACTGTTCCATATGTATCATTTCCAATTACAACGTTTTATGTTTTCGCTGCGTTCGTTTGTTATAAGCATTAGCGTTAAGTAAACTAATTACAAACTACCCAAACGAAAATATTGGGCAACTCTATTTTGTGGCCTTGTGGTGAGTGTGAGTGAAAGTTGACCTACATATATGCACACATGTGCCGTGCCTATATGTTTTATTGCATAATTCTCGATAACAAAACACGCGCAAACATGTAAGTCCATTTGGGTTTGTCTATCAAACAGTTGTTGGTGGCTTCTTATATACAATCTGTACTATACATTGGAAAAGAAATGCGAGCCTTAAACGGTTGGGGCAAGAATATTGTGCGCAACTACGGCTGGACGGACGCTATCAAAAAACTGTTGCCCAAACAAACGAAATATATTTACAACTTGGGTGCTAGATTCGAGCGTAGCGATGTGGTGAGTACTAGATGCTGCAACATATGAAACGTTAAAAAAGCAGTCTTTTATTAAAAATGTGTTTAGGTTATTTATTAGTTGTGCCGCGTATACCTGTCATTTTGACAGGTCTTATTATAACTTATAATAAGCACATGAAATAAAAAAAATTGCACGTTAGAGATGCGCAATGTAGTTTTCCTTAACAGCTGTGGTGAATTCTGTTAAGTGTGAGCAGAGAGCGAATGGTAATTCACTAACTCTGTTAATAATACGGTAGTAATGTGGCAACGCCGTAGATATTGTTTGTTTCTGTTCTTTAGCCGTTTAGTAAGCGGTTTTGAATGAAATATGGTAAAATGTTTAGTGTGAATATGAAGTTGAACGCCTTCACTTCAGTTTACTGCAGAACACATTCTACACATACATATCCCTGTACACATATGGCACATTGGCTCAGTGTCAGCGACCACCTGTAAGACATATTGAATCAAAAGTTCTTCACGTATCAACTGCAATTACACGATGCCGCTGTCCCGATTTGCACACTTATTATGGCTTAGCTGTATAAAGACAGCTTTTATCGCTACACTGCTTATGCGGACAACTATAGCCACATCACCAGCATCATCAGATTCTTTTGTTGGCCGCAATAAGGTACCAGCTGCCAAAACTCTACAGCATTAAACAAAAATCCGACAAGTGTAAATAGTGAGAAGTGTATATTCTTTGTAATTTTCAGATAGTCTACAATCCCAGCCAACTCTCGGACGCTCATTTACTGGAGTACAGCAACCTATCAGACGGCCAACATTTGAAAGAAGCTGTTAAGAATATATCAATACCACGAGTTGTGGGCACACCAAATCATGGAATCGTGCGTCAATATATTGTGCAGAGTCTGCGGGACTTGGATTGGAATGTGGAGCTGGACAACTTTCATGACACAGCGCCCATTATGGGCAATTTACACTTCAGCAACATTATAGCAACACTGAATCCCAATGCTGAGCGATTCTTGGTGTTGGCATGCCATTATGACAGCAAGTACATGCCGGGCAAGGAGTTTGTGGGTGCCACGGACTCCGCTGTGCCCTGTGCCATGCTCTTGAATTTGGCCAAGGTGCTGCAGGAGAAGCTTAAGCCATTCCAGAGCACTAAGCTTAGTTTGATGCTGTTGTTCTTCGACGGTGAGGAAGCATTTAAGGACTGGGGTCCGACCGATTCCATATATGGTGCCCGACACTTGGCCAAGGTCTGGGAGAAGGAGGGCAAATTGGATCGCATCGATATGTTGGTGCTGCTCGATTTGCTGGGTACACCAGATCCCTCCTTCTACAGTTTCTTCCCCAATACGGAGCAATGGTATATGCGTTTGGTGGATCTGGAAACACGTCTCTCGCAGCAGCACCTCTTTGAACGCTATATGAGTAGCGGAGTGGTGCAGCACGATCCATCCAGATATTTTCAGCCGCAGGCCTTGCGGAACAGCCAGGTGGAGGACGATCACATACCCTTCCTGCGGCGCAATGTGCCCGTTGTACATTTAATTCCCATTCCCTTTCCCAGCGTATGGCACACAACGGACGATAACGAACAGATGATCGATTATGCGACCACAAACAATTTGGCTCTCGTTATACGGCTCTTCACGCTCGAGTATCTGCTAGGCGGCGTTGCAAAAGCCGCGTAAAATCCCTTTTTGACTATCAAGCCTTATCATACTGACCTGTCTGATACGCGGTATCGTTGCTGTGGCAAATAATAGAATAAAAATCAACTTATTGTTTACCTACAATCTGTGTGTGCGTGTGGATCCTATGTGGACTTTGTTTCACTGCCTAAGCAGTCTGCATGCCGACGATGTCTATTTGAAATGAATAACTCAAAAACACGGAACCAGTTTACCTACTACAGTCATATTTTTGTATAAATATATAGAAAATGTTAAAATCAAATGTACAAATACATATATTATATATCAATCTTACACTCTATACATTCACATACATATATATCTTATAGTTGTCTTTTAAAACTAGTTAAGCGTCTCACGTTCCAAAATTATTGTTTTCAAAATTTGTATATGGCAAATACTGCAATTATGCTATATCTCTCTCTATATAGTCTACCAAAATTTTGAAATGTTCAGGCGTAGCTAACTTAGCAAATTAATTAGAAACTAGCCTAAATGCAGTAGAAATCGTTAGAATAAGCTTAAGGTCTAGTTAAAATCGTAAAATTCCTATGACTATATCAATTATGGACGATCAACAGCTTTTGGCATCAGTTGGGCTTGCCTCTGTAGGCAGAGATACGCTAGATGTACATGTGGTCAACGTTTCATTGTCTTGTCCATGCATGAGTTGCGCCGCGTTCAGCTCTTTGGGTTTCGCGACTACAACGGTGGTCAGCTCAGCGCAGGATTTGGCCTTGGGTGATTTGCTGCCATCTGGACTGCTGCTGACCTCACGCAGATCGGAGCGCGAGTCGCGACAGCAAACCTTTTCAATGCATTCGGCCGCCTGGCATTGCATAAGACACTCTAGAGATGCTGAGGCATCTCTATTGGTTGCCGATGAGAATTCCGGTTGGATGGTCACCTCGGCAATGCCCTGCTCATGGAAATAGGCACGCACCTGCTCAATTATCTTCAAATAGAGCTTGGGATTCTGGAACTGTATGTGTATGGTGGCCACATAGCTGTGCGCGGCCAGCTGCCAGATGTGCAGATCATGGTAGCTAACAATCTCGGGAAATTTATTCACTAGTGTACGCTCAAAGATCTCCAGATCAATGGAGGCGGGTATTGTTTGTAGTAAAATAAGACACGATTCTTTCACTGTAAAGAGAAGAGAAGGAAAAATGTTAGTTAACATGACTGTTATGCTAATCAAATCTTAGCAGTTCTACAGCTGTTATATACATTTTGAGATAGGAAATTGATAGATGTGTGAATGAACTATGTGGCTGATATACAAATGTTAGGCGTCTGCTGCTGTTATGTAAATTGTGAGGTAGCAAATCAAATTGATAGGTGTTATACCGTCAAAGAACTCTGTAATACTAAAGCTTGACGTTGCTGCTACGCTACTATTAGGTGTTATAATAAACTGAAACAACAGAAAATTATGCAATACACAAATTACACAAATTATAAATAGTTACATTTGATATATGAATCCCACCACCACACATACATTGAAATGGCGACGAGAGGACTGTTATATTCTTAACGATCTCTTTTCTAAGCACAATCACAGCTGTTATACTTACTATATGGATAACTCAGCGACACCAACAGCACACAAGAGAATATAGACAAAACGGGATCTATGAACTTTGCCGTATGCTGCTCATCCTCAGCCACATAGACAATGGCCGCACAGACGATGACGAAGAGCGTGCTGGACACATCGCGCAGCATCTCCACAGCGCCCTGTCGTTTGGTTGTGAGGTAAATGTTGCCCACCTCCGTCTCCAGTTCCTGGCGCAGCTGGCGGTCATTGCGCGACTTGCTCAGTGTGCGCTGCATGGGCTTCAGGGCCAGATCGGAATGGCTGGACATGGAACGCTCTAGGACAACGTTGCCGCCCGTCGTCAGGTGCAAAAAGCTGCCCTGATGCAGGCTGTAGCCACCTATAAGCAGATACGTCAATCCATTCAAGATGAGACCCACACACCCGAGCATCATCACGGGTATGGGCAGATGCATCGTATCCTGGTGATCGATGTGGACCAGCGTCTGCAGCGCCTCCACAATGAGCGAAAAGGACAACGAGGCCAAGATGATGAACACAATCAGCATGGTGAGTATATCGATGCGTGCCCAGCCGAAGGTGTTCCTCAGCTTCATCTCTCGTGACTCACGTTTGGCCAGCTGTTGCTCCTCCGTCTCGCTGAGCGTCAGCACCACGGCGATCTTGTCATCCGAGGAGCTGGAGTCCGTGGGCTTTGGTGTGGCTGGCGCCGTCTCATGCTGTTTGCTGTGCTGCGGGGGCAGAAGAGACAGAGTGAGGAGCTCATTAGATGCGGTTAAACTCTTTAAACATTTAAATTTAGATTCAAGTGCTGTCACCGTGACTTGCCAGCTGCATCAATAGGAATCAAGCAACAAAATAGTATTAAATTAGATCTATAGAACTGTTCATTCAGTTCATTAGGTACGGCACCTGTTCAGTTACCTGTCCGCCAAATTGTAGTCAACTATTTAACGCTTCGTTTAACTCAGCCAAAGGTCTCTTACTGTCTGTCAATTATATAAGTCAAAAGCTACCCAACTGTGTCTGGCTTATGGGCTAACGATATCTGGCCAAAAATTTTGTGCGTAGGCTCTATATTTCTACTTTTATTTATTGTTTTTTTCTTCTCTTCATGGCTTTCGCGGTTTTTCGCTTTTGCGCAAAACGTGCTTGGCACACATCCCAAATTTATGTAGTATAAAAAAAATAAAGACCACTTGCGAGTCTGCATAGATTTGCACCTACTCAAAATATTTTTGATTTCATTTTGGGTAATTTGCATAGGTATTTAGTATTTGAGCTTACGAAAAACTGTCTTGAGGGTTAATCAGGGTCTGGAATAGCTGGTGAAGAGAATAAAGCGAGAGCGATGCAGAGAGAAAGATTAGCAAGCAGAGGGGCAAAGAAAGAGAAATAAAAAAGACACATAAATAAATAGTATAATTTAGTAGTAAAGTAGTAAAGTAGAGATTGCATTAGTATTAGTAGTAGCAGTAGCAACTTTTGAATTTTTTGGTATTTTTCTTCGATATGCCTTCGACTATTCTTTTTATAAATTAAGTATAGTTTAGTATAACAGTTTATAATAATGGAAAAATTTAGCATAATCAAATTTAAATCAGTATGTTAGTTTAATATAATCATATAGTTGTCCAGTTAATAGTAGTACAGTTTACTCTGGTAGTATAGTTTAATATTAGAACAGTTTACTACAGTACCGCAGCTTATTATAGTAACACAGTTTAGCCTTGTAGCATAGTTTAACATAAGAGTATTGTTTACTTTATTAGTATAAGTAAATAAAACTAATATCTAAAAAAAATAATAGAAAAGTTAATAGTAGTACTGCTTGGAAAAATAGAAAAGTTTAGTATGCTAGTACAGTTTAATTATGTATTTTTATTTTTACAATTTAGTTTAGTATTACCAGTAGCAGTAGCTAGTTTAGTATTACTTAGTAGCTCAGAATATTAATACTATTTAACACAGTAGCACAGTATAGTATAACAATATAATTGTATAATTGAATATAATACTTCGGTTTAATAGCTCAGTTTGTACAATATGGTAGCTTTTTTGCACAGTGTAGTACAATCTATAGACTCCACTACGATTTCCACACTTTGCATACGAACATATAGTATATAATGGAAGGCTTTAGTGTGTTAAATCCATTTTATCATTATCATTGTGCATGTTTTATCAGAAAATACCCCATGATAACTCTTGTCAGACACATCTTAATTAGTTTATCAGCTAGTTGGGCATAATTTTCGAAACAAGCTGTTAACAACAGTTACTATCTGCTTTGCACTGGGGGCGTCGTTAAACCACAATTTAGTGATAAGAGATAAGAGCTCGCTGAGGCTAGACAAACCTGACCAAATAGTGTTTTTAGGTCTATGCCATAGATAAGACTAATATTTATTTGCCAAATATAAAATCTAAAATTAAAATCAAGCAAAACAATGCTATTATTATTGTTATCCTTCTCGTGACGGGAATCCGAAAAATTTCAAATATTTACCCGGCCTTAAAATGAAACAAAGCGTAAGATATCAAAGCCGAATCGAATGAAAACGAAACCTGTTTTCCAGACAGCCAATTCCGACAATTCAGTTCAATGCACTGCGTCTGGTTTTTGTGATTTCAGTTTCTTCGATTTGCTTATCAGCTCGAAAACTTGTTAGGTTCCCCACCCCCCCATATATGTTATATTTAGATGTAGTTGATTTACTTAGTTGATCCACTTACCTTAATCGTTATCACACAGCCACCTAGTGCCAAAATATTGCACAACATGTGATAGGCAGCCATGAGGAGAGTCAAAGCATGCGTCAAGTGGCTGAGGACCAGCTGGAGTACAAAGTAGCAGATCGATAGGATCAGCACCACGTACAGCGGAATAGGCCGGCAGCGCTGTAGGACGTCTTTGATCGGCATGTTTGCTGGGGATTGAGCCAGGTTTACGCCTCGAACTGGATCTTGAATTTGAACTGTAATGTAGATCGGTAAGAAATTATAGACTTTGCCAATTACTTGCTTAAACAAAGGCGTAACGCGGAAACGGACGATGAAGCTGTGTAACTCGCGTCATTCAACAGAATTGTCAACGAACTTCATGAAACTAGATCGTTTTATTGATCCTATCAATTGACAGTAGCTCTGTAAAGAAAATTATATATATGCTCAAAGTGTTGTTAATTAGGTATGTAACGAATGCATAGGCTATTAATATAATTAATAACAGGTTGAACAAACCGTTTTGTCTTTTAAAAAGAGTGGAGTGATGAAACGACAGATAGTTAGGGCCTGGTGAATGGAGTTATTAAAACAGTGAACGAAATAGTGAGAGCGAGAAATTGTGGAACTGAGAGAGAGAGACATACGGACGGCAAGAGAGCGAGATAGGCAGACATGCAGAAAGAAAGAGACATAGAGATACAGAGATAGAAAGTGAGCTTTAAATCAAATCAGTTCTATAATATTTATATGTTTTTAAATTTGTCCAAGTTAAATAAATCAATCTGAGTTTTATTGTAAACAAAAGCGTACTTCTATTAAATATTCATGGAGTTAAAGTAGACATCCATCCATCCATTGTCTGTTTAAATATAAATTACAATACTTCAACGATCATAACTAAACGTTCGATAAGGCCAAATAGTGTCAAGTGCAAACGTCTATTGAACCGCGCTTTAATAGGCATATGCGAATAGATAGGTAGAGTGGGATGGCCCATATGGTCTGCTGCCATTCGTAATGCTAATGATAAGCCTTATGTCCAGATTTGGGCAGCTGGGCGCAGGTAACGTGGGCTGGCCCAGCCCGGCCTGGCCTTTCCGCCCGCCTTTAGCATGCAAATGCAGATGCTAAGCCCCCTTTCAATTAGCTGACATTGAGGTAATATTACGTGACAACTGGCTGCGATTCGGTTGTAAGCGAAGGTTAACCCTTTTTACAGCAGAGTCACATACGCGACTTTAATTGATCGGATAAACCATGAAAACAATCATTAAGATATGATACGAGTTGGTGCGTCCATATAACGATTTATAAACCATTTGCTATAGTTTATAATTACAGCTAATTAGCTGAGCTCATTAGTTTTTCAAATTTGTTCTAGGCTCAAGTGAAAATCTGTCGAGACATAGCTCTCCAAATAATATACATTTTGCATAGCTCATTCTATTCAAGAGAATTCTTAGGTTATTAATATTATATTGAATGATCTTCCACATTCAGATTTAGCGTAATTTACGACATTAAACAATTTTATATATTATATAAATCTATGTCTCTACCCCTATCGAACAATTACATATTCTGAGCAGCTCGCTGCTATTGGGTGCTACGTAATCCCCTATATATATCAGGTATATAGATCTAACGACCCAACCTCTTTCAGCTGTCATGGCTAAGCAGCTGATTGCATTTTAAACGCCACGCGTGGGTGTATTTAGGCATTGATTAGATCGAATTCTATCTATTGTTCGCCATTAATTAGCCTCCAAATCGATTACAAAGTATTCAGTGACGCCTCGGGGCTATCATAGAACCATCCATCTACTAGCACCCACCTAATCAAAAAACAAAAACAAAACCAAACAGCTGACAGTTTTCGTTTAGTTTGAGATATGACTGACTGCATAATACTCGATTACAGACGATGAAAATTAATACTTAT